TTTTGCTGCGTTTAAAAATTTTGTGGAAACAGAGGGGGAGATTGATGGATTTTTGGCAGACTTTGAGAGGCAGTGTGCGCTACATCAGGTACCTGCAGATGAATGGGTCACCATCCTCTCTGGGAAATTATCTGGCCAGGCTAGTGAAGCTTTTCGGGCCATCCCAGAGGAGGAGATCACCAGCTATCGGGCTGTGAAAGAGGCGCTCCTAGCCAGGTATGCAGTAACCCCAGAGGCGTACAGGCGGAGGTTTAGAGAAACCAACAAGCTGGTTGGGGACTCTTATGTGGAATGGGCCTGCAGAGTCCATCGTACCGCAACCCACTGGATGGCTGGATGCCAAGCGGTAACTGGGGAGGAGGTGTTACAAGTGTTCCTGCTGGAGCACTGCTTTGATAGACTACCTGCTGGGGTCCGGGAATGGGTCAGAGACAGAAAACCCTCTACCCTACCCGAGGCTGCCCGTCTGGCAGACGAATACACGGATGCCCGCAAGTTGGATGGTACAGCTGCTAAAGCCCCTGCCAGACTGGAATATCGACCAGCAGTAACACCCGCTCCTGCAGTCTACCAACCCCCGGTACACCGTACCCCAGCTGCACCACCAGCTAACAATTATATGCAACCAGCCCGATTTAATGCCCGGGAGTACTCCCAACCCATCCGGTGCTATGGGTGCAAGCAGTTGGGGCACAAGCGTCCTGAGTGCCCCCTGAACAGTACCAACCAGGCTCAGTCCTGGAGGAGACCAGTTAACGGAAACCAGCGCCCACCTCAGCCTGCTGCTCACTGCCTAGAGCAGGAGGAATTTTGGGGCATTCTGCACGAGGCAGACCCGGTGCAAGCAGCTCACCAGGATAATCGCCAGCAACATCGGCAAACTGTGAAGCTAAATGGCAGAGTGGTGAATGGGCTGAGAGACACAGGAGCCACGATGACACTGCTCCAAAAGAACTTGGTCTCAGAGCATCAACACACTGGAGACACTGTGGCAGTAAGGGTAGCAGGGGTGCCGTGTTTCGCTTACCTGTTGCCCGAGTACATTTGGATTGGGGAGTGGGCGCTAGGCATGTGGATGTGGGGGTGATGAAGGACTTGCCCGCAGATGTTCTTTTGGGAAACGATTTGGCGCCTTTGGTTTCAGCCTATGCTCCGATGGGCCCTGCAGACGTGAACCCAGTGACCACCCGTGCCCAGACCCGTGCTGCCGGAACCAGCCCACTTGCTGACGAGACCCAGGTAAGATCTCCTTCCCCGACTGATACCCCAGATCAGGTCCCCTTAAGCTGGGATTCCCCAGAGGAGTTTGGGAGGGAAACCCGGGCGGATCCGACCCTCCAAAGATACAAGGACAGGGCAGAGGCTGGGGAGGAAGGAATAGATGGGGAACGGTATGAGTGGGTGGGGGACAGGTTATATAGGATCCCTAAACCTTCCCAGAAGAGTGTTGCCTCTCCGCCGAATCGCCAGTTAGTGGTACCTGCAAAGTACCGGCAGGAGATTCTGCGGATAGGGCATGATGTTCCTTTAGCTGGACATCTAGGGTCCCGCCGCACAGCCTATAGGATTTCACAGAACTTCTTTTGGCCAAACTTTAACCAGGCTGTGCGGATGTACTGCAGCACGTGTGACACATGTCAACGGGTAGGAAAGCGGGGGGACCACCCTAAGGCTAGGCTATTATCGATGCCTATTATAGGGGAGCCCTTTGCCCCCATAGCCGTTGACATTGTGGGTCCACTGGCCAGGGCTAGTCCATCCGGTAAGAAGTATGTTCTTACCGTGGTGGACTATGCCACCCGCTATCCAGAGGCAGTAGCGCTGTCTAACATAGAGGCAGAGGCGGTTGCTGATGCCCTGGTTAGAATTTTTACTAGGGTCGGGTTCCCTAAGGAGATCCTCTCCGACCAGGGAACCCAATTCACCGCTGTGCTCACCCAGCAACTGTGGAAGGTGTGCGGCATTAAGCCGTTACTTAGCTCACCCTACCACCCACAGACTAACGGTCTCTACGAGCGCTTTAACGGTACCCTCAAACAGATGCTGAGGACCTTTACAGACACTTGCAGAGACTGGGAGAGATTCCTGCCTCATCTATTATTTTCTTATAGAGAGGTGCCCCAGGAATCTACTGGGTTCTCCCCCTTTGAGCTGCTGTATGGGAGAAGGGTCCGCGGACCACTAGATCTCATTAGAGGCCACTGGGAGGGGGAGACGGAGCAGGAAGGGACCCCCATAGTACCATATGTTCTGGAACTCCGGGACCGCATGGAGAAACTGTCCCTGATGGTAAGGGAGAATCTCCAGGCGGCCCAGGGGAGACAGAAGAGATGGTACGATCAGGGTGCCCGACAGCGGGTCTTCCAGGTTGGGCAAAAGGTATTGGTGCTTAAACCTGTGAAGGCCAACAAGATGCAAGCATCTTGGCAGGGCCCGTACAAGGTAGTGGCGCAGATCTGCGACACTACTTACTTGATAGCCAGCTGTGCAGATGAGAGGATCCAGCGGTCCTTTCATGTGAACATGCTGAAAGAGTACCAGGAGAGACCTGAGAATATTGCAGCAGTGTGTGCCCCAGCTGCAGATGATTCTGAGAATTTACCCCTTCCAGATCTATTAGAAAGGGATTCCCAGACTGACCTTACTACCTTGGTACAGCTAGGGGACCGGTTGAACCCCACAGAAGGGGTACAGGCGCAGCAGTTGTTATGGGAGAAGCAGGCGACGTTCTCCCAGGAACCAGGTTATACCACCCTAGCTGTGCATAAGGTAGAGACCCCTGGACAGACCCCGTTACGACAGCCCCCTACCGTATCCCTGAAGCAGTCCGTGAAGGAATGCGGAAGGAGATACAGGAGATGACCCAACTTGGGGTTATCGAGCACTCCGACAGCCCTTGGGCCTCGCCTGTAGTCCTGGTGCCAAAGAAAGATGGGACCACCCGGTTCTGTGTGGACTACAGGCGACTCAACGAGCGGACCACCACTGACGCCTACCCAATGCCCCGGGTAGACGAATTACTAGATCGTATTGCCAGGGGGCGATATCTGACCACCATAGACCTGTGTAAGGGCTACTGGCAGATCCCCCTGGCCGAGGATGCTATCCCCAAGTCGGCATTTGTCACCCCATTTGGCCTGTACCAATTTAAGGTCATGCCTTTTGGGATGAAAAATGCACCGGCTACCTTCCAACGGATGGTGGATAGACTCCTGGATGGCTTCCAAGAATTTGCCTGTGCATACTTGGACGACGTTGCGATCTACAGTGGGTCCTGGGAGGAACACCTGGTACATGTAGGGGTAGTGCTGGATAAGATTAGGGCCGCTGGCCTGACGTTGAAGCCAGAAAAGTGTCATCTAGGTATGGCTGAAGTGCAGTACCTGGGTCACAGAGTGGGGTGTGGGAGCCAGAGACCGGAGCCAGCCAAGGTAGAGGCAGTGGCTAACTGGCCCACACCTACTACTAAGACCCAGGTATTGGCCTTCTTGGGGACGGCAGGGTACTACAGACGTTTTGTCCCTGACTACAGCGCTATCGCTA